GTAAAGTTGTTGTTCTCTCAACTGATTCTGAATCAGAAAGTGATGATGATTCTACAGATGTTCCTGTTAGTGATTTGATTTCCCTTTGTGATAATGATAATTGGTCAGAAATATATATTCCACCAAACTTGGAAATGTTTGAAGGAAATCCAGGGGTCACTATAACTCCATCCAAACCCAAAAGTATTGCTGCCATGACAAGTCTAATTTTTGGTGATGGCTTGTTTGAAATGTGTACCTACCATAATCAAACTGCAGAAAAACATAAAATGCATCTAACGGACTTCAATGGTCTGAAGTTCCCCCCAAAGACATAAGGAAATTACCAGACCTTATTCTACTAATGGAACAGACAAGGAAATATAACTGGAAAGATTAGTGGTCAACAGATCCTCTTTTGATGAGCCAACTATTTTTGCAGACAATGAGCTGAAACAGATTTAAATAAATTTGGACATTTTGGCATTTCAATGATGATCAGAAAATATACGAGTCTTCAGGCAGGCTCTTCAAAATTCAACCAGTACTGGATTAATAAATTTAGGACACTATACAAACCATCCGTGACTCATCTGTTTCTACCACAGAAAATAAAAATAGAATAACTGGAGAAGAAATAAAAACCTGTGTGTGTGTTCTCCAATACAATGTTCACATGAAAGGTGTTGATCGTGCTAATCGGTACCTCTCATACTACACCATTCTCAGAAAAACAGTGAAATGGATGAAAAAGGTAGTACTTTATCTGATAAATTGTGGCCTTTTCAATTCATATATAATCTAAAAAAGCCCCGAGTCAACAGAAAAAAATAAAATATAAGCAGTTCCTCCTTTCTGTGGCAAGAGAATGGATTACTGACAAAGAGAAAGAAGGCTCACTGAACTAGAGAGGAATGATCCCGGTCCATCATCTGAAGTTAAAAGGAAAGTATCCCCAGGAATACTGTCTAATGACATGAAGCAGCATATTCCTGTGTTCATTTGATCTACAGGAAAAAAAGAAATTTCCCACCAGAGCTTGCAGCCCATGGGAAAAGAAGAGAAACATAATGCATATGCAAGTTTTGTGCAGTTCCACTTCATATATGAAAATGTTTTACAGGATACCACACTTTTGAAAATTTACTGGGTGTCTACATGTACATACTCTGTAAGTTTCAAATAAATAATAAAAAATATAGTTGAGTTATGAACAAAATAAAATGCGTCTGACTCCTTTCAAGCTCAACGTTTTAATATATGGCACACAAAGATGCTCTGCACAAAACATGAGTAAACTCGTAACCTGTCCACAATGTGTTAAAAGTAAAAAACAAAAAAGATAACATTTTTTGGCAGAATGAAAGGTGAAATATTTATTATTATTTACAGCCGACAGTTATTATTTACAGTTTACCATAATAAGGGCTAATATCTACAGTGTTAGCTTAGAATATATTCAGTTACAAACTGTTAATGGGTGAGTTCATTTTCAAAAAAAAAGAGATGGAAAGTACATTATAAATGAGGAATACTTAAATAAGTATTTCAATGGGACATATTGATTGGTCTATCGTCTCTATTTATACACACACACATATCTGTTTTTAATTATACAAATGCTCTCTTAAGTTCCTTTCTATGTTTGTTTGTGCATTTCTTAAGTCATAATCAGTAGGTGACATAGTGTTGCTGTGTTTACTATGTCACACTGGTATTCTTTCAGTCTCGTTTTCAATTTAATTTTTGTTTGTTCTATGTACCTTTTACTGCAACAGATTTGGTAAATTCCATCTTTGTCATCAGTCTGTTTTAGATCTGTCAGTGTTTGTAAATGGTTGACAATTTTGTTTAGTGGGATGAACACTATTTTGTAACCTTTTAATCACAAACCCTTAGCAACTTTTTCCGAAATCACAGGAAAAAACGCTATACTGATGAACTTGTTTTGAGATGTTTTTATTGGCATTAATTTAGAGTATTTCATTTGTAGATGTTTATCATTCATTTTTTTGGAAAGCTCTGTCAACAGTTATAGGGTCATAACCTCTGTGTACATATATAGTAATGGCACACCAAGCATGTGTGTGAAAATTGCTTAGTTTCTGACATAAAGGGTGGTTAGAGTTAAAATGTGGTGGTATGTTTACAGCAAGTTTAACTTATCATTTGTTTTTTTGGAAAGCTCTGTCGACGATTATAGGGTCATAACCTCTGTGTACATATATAGTAATGGCACACCAAGCATGTGTGTGAAAAGTGCTTAGTTTCTGACATAAAGGGTGGTTAGAGTTAAAATGTGGTGGTATGTTTACAGCAAGTTTAACTTATCATTTGTTTTTTTTGGAAAGCTCTGTCGACAATTATAGGGTCATAACCTCTGTGTACATATATAGTAATGGCACACCAAGCATGTGTGTGAAAAGTGCTTAGTTTCTGACATAAAGGGTGGTTAGAGTTAAAATGTGGTGGTATGTTGACAGCAAGTTTAACTTATCATTTGTTGTTTTGTGTTTTTCAAAGAGAATGTCTAATTAGGCCAGTTCATTTTCATTGTAATCCATAGTGAATGTAATTCCTTCATTATTATCATTCATGTAGTGTAAGAACTCCTTAAGACTTTCATTGCTGTGTGCCCACATCATGAAGGTGTCGTCTTCTTACTTAACTTAAGTATTCCTACATTTTCAATTTACTTTCCACCCCTTGTTTTATGACTTTGTTTTTAAAAATGAACTTACCCATTAAAGGTTTGTAGTTGAATATATTCAAAGCTAACACTGTAGATATTAGCCCTGATGATGGTAACTGTGTTACTGAAACTACTCGGCTGTAAGTAGCAATAAAAAATTTTACCATTCGTTGTGCCAAACAACGTTAGTTTTTGTGTTTTTTACTCTTAATATAGTAGCATGATGTGCCTGAAAACAAATTATAGTATGTGATTGAATATCTAGGAAATGTTAACTACTTTGTAATATAGTTATTTTAGTGGTTTAATTTTTCCCCATTTCTGCAGGACAGTTTTATGTAATGATGTCTCCACAAGATGTACTTCAGCCAGGACAAAGAACTTTGGCTCCAAGAACACATCAGTTTAGTCCAAAATTAGATATAACAAGAACAGCGAGAGATGAACGTCGCAGAGCCACTCACAATGAAGGTAATTTAGTGTAAGATTTCTAACATCAGTAATCCTATAATTATTCAGAGGACATAAACTGTAAAATTATGAAAATATCTAAATAAGATAACATACTCCACCCTTTTTAACTAGTCTCAAATTCAACAGTTTAAAATTGGCACCAATTTCAAATTTGTAGTCCAAAATTTATAAGAAGAAAATAAAAGTACTAATTAATGTTAAAAGGAAAGAACTTGCAAATATTTCAAAGCTTTTTGTTTGCCAGTCAACTTTGAAGTTATTAAGAAGGTCTAAAGAAAACAGAAAAAAAATATCAAAGCATAAAAAAAGATCATTCAAGAAAATGACGTTTTTATAAATTTTTATAAATTCTCCGTAGCTTAAAAGTTAATCCCATAAAATGAAAATTAATTAAATCAAAATTACTTTTACTTGTTTTAAAAAAAAGGCAATAAAAAATAAACAAATTAGGCCACATTTGTGTAAGTTTTACGAAAATAGCTTAGTGTAATTTGTTAATACCTATCTACATGCTTAAGGTTGTAAAGAATATTCCAGTAACATTTGTCAAACAACCAATATAATTTGTGTACAGACTGCCTTTGGAATAATTAGTCAGGCATATTTTTCATATGTGAATAAATTTTCTTTTCATTTATTACAATTCCAGAAATTTTATTGTAAGATACATGGTTACTTTTCTGTATATTATTATTATATCAGACATTTTACCCTTTCTTACTCCTGAAGAAGAAAAGTCAACTCTTCAAAAGTGCTTGAGTTTCTGGGTCTTTTGAAATCTACTTGTTTTCTCTGATCCTTTTTTCTAATTCTTTCATTTTGTTTGTATGTTATCACAATACTAGCCTGTGGAATGTATGGTTACTTTTCTATAAAAGTACAAATAACTGGCCCATAATCTTATAATTTATGATCATAGTAAACAGGAATTTAAGAAAAAGGACTGCTAGGTCCACAAGAAAGATGCAGGTGGGCAAAGGATCAAATATGTTCAATCAGCAAGAATTCAAATTTATTTACATAGTTTTAGTTCATTTCTAAAACCTTTCGTTTAGAAGTCTTTGAGGATAATGATACTTTTTACTTGTTCGCAGTGGAAAGAAAAAGAAGAGACAAAATCAATAATTGGATAATGAAGTTATCGAAAGTAGTTCCTGATTGTTCCTCTGATCATACCAAACAAGGGCAGGTGAGTTGCAGTGAATCGTGTGAAGGTAGGAATAAGCTAAAATAAGTCAAAATCATTAGGATTGTATTATATTCTTTTGAGAATGAATATTAAGAACGTTATATTTGAAACTCAAAAATTAAATTTTTCTTTGTCTTCTTTAGATTGGTATTTGGCTATTATCAGTGAATTCGTAGTTAACATATTAACAATAAGTGTAAAGATCAAAACCTTGAAGTAGAAGTTTATAATAATTTTCTCTTAGGTATTTAATGTTGTATATAACAAAATGTTCTGAATGTTATTCCTACTATCAATGTTCAGAAATTATACAAAACATGTATATGTACCATTCTTTTCAGTTAGCAAGTGTTAAATGAATTTAATTTTTCTGATACGATAGTTGAGTTGAGATTCACACACTGCCTCATAATTCTGGGTTCAGTTTGGTGTACTTCTTGTCTCCTACAGCTGATGTGGAAGTTTGTCTGGTGATCACCATTTGCTTACTTCATCATTGTAATTCTGGTTGCTTGCAGTATGGCACTCTTGTTTACTTCTGGTTGTGGTTAGTGTATATCTGTTGTTGATGGTCCACTCACCCTGGCCACATTACCTTGCTTATACTCAGTTGATTCTTCAGCACTATCCTTCACCTTGCAGTACTGGGGATGGGACATGAAACCTTGTCTATCCGGTTGGGGAGAGTCTTGCCCCAATGTTTTCCGAGGCCTTTTATTATTGGTTTGGTCCTTGATGCTGCCTATTTCACGACAGCTTACTTCTAGGGCATGCCTTTTCCAGAAGTGGTGCGGTCCCCCTCATGTATGCTTTCATTCAATTACTGAAGCTTTCCATAGGGTGTCTTCTTCTATGTTACACCGGTCCCTCCAGCTCCTCAATGAGGGGTTCTTTGTGTAACTGGTAGTATGTATCATATTGGAAGTTATCATTTTCTTACACGCACTTCCCACCCTTCCTCCCCATTTCTGGTGTGCCTAGTCTTGAAAGTGAGGTACATGAAATGTAATATAGAGGGAGCCAGCTGCTCCAAGAGTGTGTGTTATGCTTCTATTGGTGTAGGGTTGTCACATGTGCTAAATGAGCAGGTTGAACTGAGGGGAGTATATAGGCTAGTGAGTCAACCAATAATATATTTTTTGAATGCATTAGCGGGCAGATGAAGATCTTGAAAAGCTTTTGTGTGAGAGTAGGGCAGTATCCATCAGAAATCTATTTTCAGTGTTGGAAAATGATAACTTTTGTCACATTTCACATATTAATATTTATTTTATTTACATTATTATTATTCATTGTAATTGATACTTCCAATTAAAAAAAATGGTTCTTTTATTCAAAGAGCTTATGATTGTAACTAAAGAAGAATTTATAAAAAATATGGCAATCTCAATATATCTGATTTAGCCAGTGAAGCTGGCTTGGATACAACAGATACAGTAGATAAGGGGTTATATTATAAAAATAGGTGTGACAAAAGTGGTTCCCAGTTTTCCAAAGTTATATGTTGCGTATCTGTTTATGTCTCTTATGAACCTCATGGTTCTCACCCCTGTTGTGTTATGTACCTGTTTGTCTTGTATGAACCATGTGATTCTCATTTGAACAGTTGTTTATCACGTGTCTGTTTATGTCTTGTGTAAACCTTGTGATCCTCACTTGCCTGGTGTGGTGTGTTATGTAACTAGCCTGGGTCAAATTAATTATTTCTTATAACAATAATATGATCTTATATAATGTCTTTTTTTTATTCTGTTCTTTTGTGTATTTATAGTGGTTTTGTTTTAATTTTGTAATACTGTTTAGTTAGATATTTTGCAAGTTTAAACAAATAAAATTCAAAAACAGTTATTGATATTTTCCTTCCAAATGAAGCAGAGTAAAGGAGGTGTACTTGCTAAAGCTTGTGACTACATCCAAGAGTTGCGAAACGCTAATGCCAGATTGCCTGAGATTTTAAAGGAAAATGAGAGACTGACAATGGATGTAGAACTGTTAAGACGTCAGTGTGAAGATATCAAGAATGAGAATCAGATGTTCCAAGTACATCTTCAACAGCAAGGGATTACCGTTACTGACCGGATGGGTACAAATGGTACATAAAAGGTATTGTCGAGCATTTATGTGTATTTTCTGATTCCTTTTCTTACGATAGAACTTCATTTGACATTTAAATGTTTTAAAATGATCTAAAATGTTCATTTAAATGTTCTAAAACAAATATTTGAATCTTAGTACAAGCTGGACAGTATTGGTTTTGTTAGCAATTATAAACAACTTTGATTTTCATTGTTAGAGAAATTGATAAAATTCTTGGTCTATAATATATTATTTGTATATGAAGAATGTAAAAATACCTTTTTATTCATTTTGTTTAGAATATCAGAGCCTCTGAACTGTTCCAGTTTGTTCAGTGATGTGCTTACGTATGAAAAGCTTGGGAATGTCTTATTAACTGGAACAAAACAACTATGTAAGGATTGCCTTGTTTTGTCACTTGCTTGAAGCATGTGTCAGTTGTTAAAAACAGCTACTGTTGCCATGTTTGTTATATAGTTAACCAGTTGATATTATAGCCAGGAAATTTGTTATCTTGGTATCAGAATATCATTTGTATATAATTAGAAACAAGTTTTTAATGTGAAAATGGTTTCTGCAACAGATTTAACAAGTATGGAAACTTTCTATTCAATGAAAAAAATCTGTAGAAATTATCTAGAATAGTGTTCATGAAGTTGGCTGTGTGTAATAATGGAACATACAGTGTTCATGAAGTTGGCTGTGTGTAATAATGGAACATACTTTTGGTTTCACGTTTCTATGATTTTTATTTGATAATCCTTCAGGTATTTAACCCCATGGGGGGTTTGCTATCAGCTCAAGTTAAAATTTTTCTATAGTAGCAAGTATGAATATTGTATAGCTCTGTAGACTACAGAGAAGTAATGTAAATCTTAAAAACATGTATGGTTTGCACTGTCAGTAATATAACTGTTTTTTTAAAGATTAAACTATAAGTTACTTCTGTGTAATAAATAATCTACATGAGGTTGGTCCAACTGTCTACCTCTGGAGGGTTAGACTCAAGAGAATGGAATCTTTGCCACATGGATGTCTCATTATTACCTAAATTTCATTATTAAAGCAGAATGTAGTGTCATTTTTGGTTATAATATACCAATTAAAAACCTGTTAAAAGTAGGGTAATTTCAATTGTAAATGAGTCATATTCTAAACAGTTTTTTTTGCAATATGTTACATTATTCAGCTAGACCACTTAAATAATTCAAAGTCTCAGTTGTCATTTGCCTTACAAAGAAAAGAGCCTAGTACTTCTGCTGTAAATTTTATAATCTAGTCGTGATACGTATATGTATACTAATAGAAACATAGAATCTGCTTAAGTTTTCTAGTGCAAGCTTTGATTAACAAATGATAGCTGGTCTGTTGGTATTAGAGTTAACCAAGCTGTGTTGCAAACTTAAAACTGAGTCCTACAAGTTGTTGTGAATTATCAGTATTGTAGGAAGGTTTGACATTAGAAATAAAACCTTTTTTGTTATTAATGTCATATTGGTGTGATAAAACTTGGAAATACCTGAATTAATTTTTGTCATTTTGCACTTAATCAGTAACTCATTTTTGTACCATTCCTTTAAAACAGAGATAATTATTTTATTAAGTCCTCAGTATGATTCTTGGAACAGATCTTAAAGTCATTTCGATTTCTTGTAAGTTTGTGTGAATGTGCAACAAAGAACTTAGCACATAGTTTACATACTCAATAAACTGTATGAGATCAAAAGTAAATAAAACTTTATCTCGTTATTGTAAACAAATTTTAGAGTTTGTCTGTAAAAACGACTACTTTGATTAAATACTTTTCAGAACTCTACAAACAAGTTTCTTTACAATACAGATTTAACAAATGTTGGTAAATTGGCCTTGCTTGTTCTAACTTACAAGTTTAATACAATCAGCATGATAAACTGTTTTTTTTATTCTAGCATACAAGTTTAACATGATAAACTGATGTTTCTTGATTCAAAAGTACAAATATAACATGATCGTTGGGGTAAACTGGCCTTTCTGGATTCATAAGTACAAATTTAACATCAGTTTTGAAAACTGGCCTTTCTGGATTTTAGTGTACAAATTCAACATGATCAGCATAGTAAATTGGCCTTTCTTAACTCTAGTGTACAAATTTAACATGATCAGTATGATAAACTGGCCTTTTCAAGTTTTGATACAGCTGAGCAATTAGTGGAATATGCTAATAAATTAATTGTTGGTCTTATTAATTGATTATTCCCATATGAGACTAATCTTCCTATTTTCACCTTGTTTTGTGTTTAAAAGACATTCTAAAGCTACCTTTCATTTAATGTGGTAAACATCATGAGGTACAATAATTAAGGATTAAGTTACTTTTTTAATTGTTGTACATTAAAATGCAACATAGTATGAAACTTGTAACAAGCTGAAAATACGATTAATACTGATCCATGGATTTCTCCACACAAATTTTAACAAGATTGCTAAAATAAAGTAAACTAAAAGTAATTGTCCTTAGATGTTGTAAAACTAGTAAAGACTGTTTTAACAGTGTGTGATAGACAATACATAATTCATTGAAAACAAATCCATGCCAATTCTAGAAAAACAAACACTAACTATTTTGAAAGATGGTACTGCATCAATTCTTTCCAAATATTAAAATTCTCCTTAAGGTGGAAATTTAAGAAAAAATTAAAATCACAGTGATATGGAAAAATCTGTAATTATAGATGTTACAGATTTTTTTCCTAATTCAATGATCATTGTGAAACGTTTTTAAAGTAATTAACAACTTTATAAGCATAAAAAACATCCCAAACTTATAAACAACAGAAGTTTAGAAAGACCACATTAATATGTTTATATATTATAGTACAAGGTGGATAAAACTGTAGAAGCGTATGTGCATGCTAAGGAGTCAGTAAATCAAACAACTTAAAGCTTACTGTTTTATATAGTGTTTAAGTGGCACGTGGTTATGCCAGACTTCTGTTTTCCCTTTTCACAGCTTCCTATCTAGTTGTAATTAAACAGAATTCCTATTTGTGTAAATAGGTTAATGATGTAATGGTACTACATATTGGTTGACTGTCATTAGACCACGTATAGCAGTTTCTGACAAATTCAGTTAAATGAGCAAGTTATTCAGGAATCAGAATTTTTTTGGATTGAGTAAAGAATAATTAGTATTAATTTGCCATATCGTTTTATTAAAGCAATCTTTAAGTCATACTGGTTATGTTTTAAGATATATTTTATAATACATAAGAAATGTATTAATTTAAAGCTACACTGTTATTTAGACATATGAGGTAAACCTAAACAATATGCATCATTGTGGCTAAAGATGTAACTATTCATGAATTTTGTAAAAGCAGTAATAGCTAATATTTTGATCAATTACTGTTCCTGATTATCATTATTTTTGTGAATTGTGGCACTAATTGATTAAGCTTAAAAACTTTGTTTGAAAATAATAATGAGAAATCATAATGGCAATTCTTTAATTACGTAGTTGAAATAAAATGTAAAACTGGAAACACTAATTTCATTTTAATCGTAATTTTGATTAGTCAATTATTTTACACTTATCAATTATTTCACTTAATCGAGTTAATCACCCAATTGTAGTGTACACATTTAATGTTTTCTGTATTGCAAAGTAGCCTTTTTTGGTGTCCAAGTATATAAACTTAACATCTTTGGTGTCGTGCATGTAAACTGGTCTTTTTTTGTTTCATAATTAAAAATTTCACATTGTTAATGTAAAAAAACGGTCCATTCTTGATTCAGGCTTTTCTTGGTGTGCCAGTTTAACGCTTTTCACTGGTAAATTGGTAACATTTTTAAGATATTCTTTTCAGTGTTATTAAAATGCTTGTAGAATACAGTTGTTTGTGTGGGACTGTATATTTTGAAAAGAAAAGGTATTCATCATGTACTGAAAAAATTTTGTTATTACTACTACTACTTTTTTGAGAAATCTGGTTATAAAGTAAATTCGTAAAATGTATAATTTGATAGATTTCAAAAAAAAAAGTAAGAAATGTAGCCTTTTTAAGTTTAATTGTTTTACAACATTGTTGATTTTTCTTGTTTATAGATTATCTTTTTGTTTAAAATCCACATAATATAAGAATATATTTGATCCTTTAATCCATAAAATTGGATTTGATTTACAAATGGATGTATTTTAAGTGAAGGTAATAATGAGCAGTAGATTTTATTTAGTGAAATGTATTAAATATTGATTGACATGAAAAATGGTTGTAAGGACTCTGTTAGGGAGCATGGACACTCTTGCTCCATTAAGACAAATCCTTAAGTAACTATTATTTCTGCTTCATTGTTTTCTACCTGTCTGTTGGTATGTATACATCTTAAGTATATATAAAAAACATGGATAGTAAATTACTTTGTAATCAGATTACACATCATACTGAGTTTGATACAATTAAAAAAGAAACTTCTATCATTATTGGGTGTGTGTGTTTTTCTTACATATATTGTTGTTCAGCAGCAACTGTTGACTATTTGAATCTTCACTCGTATTAATTTAGTAGGAATAAAAACGTGCATTAGTATTACAAAAAATTAGTAATGACTGCTGAAGGAGACAGAAATGTTTTTATATCCAGTTTTTAGTGTATATTACATAATGTAGAAACGTCACCGTGTGCAATTAAAAAGTTTGATGCTTCTGTGGATGTGTAAAAAATTCTATGTCGGAAATCTTCATGCATTTATCAGCAACATATGTACCTGTTTCATGATGAATGTTAACTACAGTAATAATATAAAAAAATTCAAATATTGGAATATAGAAACTTTATATTTTTATGCTGATTTTCTGTTCTTTTTTTAAGCTTTCCTTGTCAGAAAGACCATCACTTCTTGACACAGGTTTTTTACTTGTACTATACTTAGGAGTACCAGACTTTGTAAGTAAATAATAACAATAACTGATATAAAAACAAAACACATATAATAAAGTCAAATAAATAGATTGTGTAATTCATCCTTACGCTAAAAATCAGATTTGTGGATGTCGTAAAATGAATAATAATTACAATTCACTTACTAAATCTGGTTCACTCTGTAACAGTCGTCGTTCATGAAAGTTAATGTAAATAATTGCTAGATCTCTACTGTGTCATATCACAGTCGACACTGGTATAGCAGACATAGTGTAGTTGACATATCATATATTTTTCTTTATTGTTACCAATAAGTTCTTGGAATACAAGCAGAATATATTATCATCAACAATAATTTTAAAATAATACATAGAGTAAGAACATTATTTCTGGGAAGGCTTTACAGACTATGGAGCTTCCTATACGACATGTAGATGTGCAAAAACAAAAAAAAACTTTCTTTACTCTTAAGTTACTGAAGATGAGTTATTTACACAGAATCATTACATTTTTGATTTCACTTTTCCTGTAATGAGGTAATTAAATATGACCAAACATGAAGGCACGGCCAGGTGGTAAGGGAGCTGGACTCACAATCTGTGGGTCATTGGTTTGATTCCCCATCACACCAAACATGCTTGCCCTTTCAGCCATGGGGGTGTTATAATGTGACGGTCAATCCCACTATTCATTGGTAAAATAGTTGGCGGTGGGTGGTGATGACTAGGTGCCTTTCCTCTAGTCGTACACTTCTAAATTAGGAATGACTAACACAGATAGCCCTCATTTAGCTTTGCACAAAATCCGTAACAAACCAGAGAAACATGAAACATTTGTAGCATAACATCTGCTTATTATGTCTGTGTGTGTAGGGGGGGGGGGGGGTATATCAGTAATAATTTTTATACTTTAACTTATATGATGCATAGAGAAACTGTGCATTAGTTTCTAACCAAATGTTATAGTTTGAACACCCAGTTTTTAGGCTCTATAATATCTAATTTAAAATTACAGTTTGCTAACTCTGAGTTTTCAATGCTCTCAATTTAGCTCTCATATTTTGTAAGCTTGTCCAAAATATAGGAATTCATGTAAAGTGGTTATGAAAATATTACTTTAATTCACTAGTGCATGGGTGCCCACAGATTTTTTTTTTTGGGAGGGCGGGGGCAAAACATGTATGTAGGGGATCAGCTTTTACAGTGTAAGTCAACAAACTAAAACAATGTGTTGTGAGTGCTTAACTGCAAATCCCAATTTACATTTTCAATAAAAATAACTAAAAATATTTAATCTAACTACTACAATGTTAAGTTTAAAAATAGTTAGTCTAACTACGATGTTAAGTTTAAAAATATTTAGTCTAACTACAATGTTAAGTTTAAAAATACTTAGTCTAACTACAATGTTAAGTTTAAAAATATTTAATCTAATTACAATGTTAAGTTTAAAAATACTTAGTCTAACTACAATGTTAAGTTTTAAATATATTTAATCTAACTACAATGTTAAGTTTTAAATATATTTAATCTAACTACTACAATGTTAAGTTTAAAATATTTAGTCTAACTACTACAATGTTAAGTTTAAAAATATTTAGTCTAACTACTACAATGTTAAGATTAAAAATATTTAATCTAACTACTACAATGTTAAGTTTAAAATACTTAGTCTAACTACAATGTTAAGTTTAAAAATATTTAGTCTAGCTACTACAATGTTAAGTTTAAAAATATTTAGTCTAACTACTACAATGTTAAGTTTAAAAATATTTAGTCTAACTATGATGTTAAGTTTAAAAATATTTAATCCAACTACAATGTTAAGTTTAAAAATATTTAGTCTAACTACAATGTTAACTTTAAAAATATTTAGTTAACTACAATGTTAAGTTTAAAAATATTTAGTCTAACTACAATGTTAAGTTTAAAAATATTTAGTCTAACTACAATGTTAAGTTTAAAAATATTTAATCTAACTACAATGTTAAGTTTAAAAATATTTAGTCTAGCTACTACAATGTTAAGTTTAAAAATATTTAGTCTAGCTACTACAATGTTAAGTTTAAAAATATTTAGTCTAACTACGATGTTAAGTTTAAAAATATTTAGTCTAACTGCAATGTTAAGTTTAAAAATACTTAGTCTAACTACAATGTTAAGTTTGAAATATATTTAATCTAACTACAATGTTAAGTTTTAGATATATTTAATCTAACTACTACAATGTTAAGTTTTAGATATATTTAATCTAACTACTACAATGTTAAGATTAAAAATATTTAATCTAACTACAATGTTAAGTTTAAAATATTTAGTCTAACTACTATAATGTTAAGTTTAAAAATATTTAGTCTAACTGCGATGTTAAGTTTAAAAATATTCAGTCTAACTACGATGTTAAATTTAAAAATATTCAGTCTAACTACGATGTTAAATTTAAAAATATTTGGTCTAACTACGATGTTAAATTTAAAAATATTTGGTCTAACTACGATGTTAAATTTAAAAATATTTAGTCTAACTACGATGTTAAGTTTAAAAATATTTAATCTAACTACAATGTTAAGTTTGAAAATATTTAGTCTAACTACAATGTTAAGTTTACATCATAATATGTGCAATTTTTTTGTGATATATATAAGGGGAGTCAAATGCCCCCTTTTGTCTATTCCTGTGGGTGCCTATGCTCTAGTGTCTAAATAGGTACACCATGAGCAAACTTGTATAGTTTTAGTAGTTTAAAACTGTTAGTTATGTGGAGTAAGTGGTTCATCTTTAGATGCATTCTTGCTGAGCCAGCAGGACAAATAAAACTGAAGTTAGTAATTAAAATTCTTCCAGTTTGTTAAAATAAAATGTAGATGCTTGTTTTTATTTTTTAATCACTTTTTGTTCTATACAACTGGTTCATATACACTATGTGTGTGTGTGTGCTTAATTTGTTAATACACACTTCAGGATTTAGGACAAAATGTACATTCTAATTTGAACAAGTCCTCTTTCTTACATTCACTAACTTATTTTATGGGTTTTTATCAGTGGTATATCTAGCAGTGGAGTTAGTATCATTATTGTTGGCCTAATACATCTCATTGTATATGATATGTTTTCCATTTCATCACCAAAACTATTCAGTTGTTTATGCTTTACCTGTTTTCATCAAACCCCAAAATTGCTGTCTTTCGTCAAAGATATTAGTTGTTAAAATACAACAACAAGATACATTCAATTACAGTGCAGATCAAACTGTTGATGAATGTAAAATGTTTAGGGAAACAAAAGTCAAATTTAATCAATACCATATTAGCTTACATTAGAAAAAAATATGTACAAAATTTAGGAGTTATGTCACTTTTATTTCACAAGTGTTTAACAAAAATTGCAACTGAAAAATACAAAGTTTTATTAATAAGTTATAGATGTTGGAAGATAATCCTTATTAAACATTTCAACTTTGTATGATTTCGTACAAGAGCAGAAACATTTACAAGTGTAATTACATATAATACATTCTATCAAGTATTTGTAATCATAAAACTTTTTTAAAAAAAAAACTCTAGAATCAGAATGATCTTACACAAAAGTCTAAATAAAAATTAGTAAACCAAAATTTAGAAAAATGTACACTCAAAATAAAGAATTTTGTACTTTTCTGGTATTGTATCACTTGTTGGAAGTCTCGCTACTGAACGGCTAAGCTTTGAAATCTCTTCGAATGCATTATTTTCTCAAATTTTTATACATAAGAATTCAAACACCCATCAGAAAGCAAATATGATGGGCAGACAAGTTTTCTTTTTATTCTGGTGTGAAGCACTTTAGATCATTTATTATGGACAAAAATCTTCCTTGAAAAAAAATTCACATATACATTAGGAGACAATCAAATGTTAAGGAATGATGATGATGATATTACCAAAATATATCTTACTAAACCCACAAATTCATCTTTTTTCGTTTAAGACGTCTCACTTCATGCTGCATGATTCGTAGAAGTGTCTAATGAGAAAGGAGATTACAGGTTTTAGAAAAAATGTCAACAATAAAATATTTTCTTGATAATTATTCAATCTATATGGTTCAGGTTTATCAAAAGATTGTTTTCTGGTCCTCGAGTTGTAAGACATAAGAAAATTCTACTTCTGAAATACTCAAGATTTTTGTTAGTGTAGAGTAGTTATTTGAAAAAGCTTACTGGATAAGTTACTTTCCATTAGAGGATTCCTTAATTATTCATTGTTCATAATGATGATGTGTTTATTCACATGTAAAATTATGTAGTAAAACAATACAATAGACCAAATTCTTGTAGCAAATGATATATCTGTCACAGTAAGGCAGTTGGTAGTCTTAGAGTCTCTAAGATTTAAATAATCTTTATAGATCATGTTAGCTTTTCATCTAATGGTTATTCAACTCACCAAAACTGCTAGAAAGTCAGATACCATGGCCATGTAGAAAACATTATTCCAACTAGTTTTGGAGATAACACCAGCTAAAAGTGGCCCAATCGCAGCTCCTGTAGGTCATATATAAATACCATCACTTGGCTATTGTATTAGGTTCAATGCAATATGCATATAAAGCACACAATATTCTACAATAAGTACTTTGAAATTCCAAATTCAAATACAATACTTTACCTCTCATTGTAGCTTTCCTAGATTTGTGCTGCCCTCTATAGGTGCAATTTTCACTTGTCACTAGTTTTGAGGATCCCACCTAACATCACGTGTTTAAACATGGTATAGTTTCATTGTAACATGCAATAACCTCCACCAATAGGAGTGTGAGACATCCTTTATACTGTAAAGCACAATCATCACTTCTTGATTTGCCACTTGTGTAACAACGTCTTTTTTTTTCACTCCTGAACTTTTCAGATATAGACATTTTTCAGTCAAAGTACCACCAAAGACAAGTATCAGTAACTTCCACTTTATCTGGTGTAAAATAACATGACTTTGTTCATGCTAGCCTATCAATTACGTTGGCTTTTGGTTTGTCTTTTGAGAGAGGTGATGGCTTTTATGCAGTGGGTGGTGGAGTCTTTTTCATGCAGCCTGAGCCTTCTTTTGTCACTGACATAATTCCACCTAAGTTTCTTGTTTGTAACAGAAGGGATTTTTCCTATTTTTTCCTTCCCTACCTTTGCTTCCTCTTACACCAGCATTGTCTTGTTTCTACCACAGCATTTTTTAATTATTTCACGACTAGGTTATTCAGGTATGTTTTTTTACATATTCAGTTATTTTTACCACATCTTTTGGGCATACATGCCTCGTTCTCCTTCCTTTGTTACCTCATATGACTAGGCATGAATTGTGCTTGTTACTTTTCTGTGACTCCTAAATTTTGGAGTTGTCAGATTCTCTGTCTTTTGTTTGTCTTTCTTAGGCTTAGGTTTTCCTACCTTCGTCTTACACTCACTTACTTTTCCATTATTTTTCCTCCTTTCCGTGGTAATCCACCATTCCCTTGTTGGGTTTTCAATGGATGCTCATTCACTTATCTTTTCTACAGTGGTGTGTTTATCTTCATTGGATGTATGATTTTAGTGGCATGCTTGGATCTCTGGTGTCATATGTTGTGTCACATGCCAGTGTTATGCTTTATCTTCAATAGTTTACTGTCTTTCCAATGCTCCTTCTTTGTCTCTCTCTCTGTAACCACTTACATCCTTCCACTATTCGTAGACTTCAGCGCTGTCAGTCTTGGTCACGACTGTCCTATAAGCTGAGGGTCAGTAGGGCCTGTATCCTCCATTTGTGGCCAATTGTTATGTATTGGGATTTCTATCAGAGACCTTTAACCTTTGATTTTTCCTCTCCTCCTCCAATGTCACCCGTTTCCATTATTTTATATCCTCTAAGGGAGCTTGTTTCTTGCCAACATTGGATGGGTTTCTCATTCTTTTCCAAGTTCTTCTTCCTGTCTTTTTTGTGGTTCCCAGGGAATATGTAGATAGGTGTCAAGTCTTGCATCTTTTTTGTCTTTCTTTGCCTTCCTGTTGTGGAATTTTTGACCTGTTGGTGGTCTTTCTTCCCAGGTTGTGGGATGACCAAGGTGAACATCTTGGATACTTCTTTTGTTGTTGGGCTCTGTCCCAACTAAACTCCTACAGCCACCGTTCTTCTCATTCTTTGGACAGTGGCACATCTGAGTTGGTTGATTCAGCTTGTAGGAGTCAAGTCTCACACCCATTTCACTTGTCATTCATTTGGGTGTTTTTTTGTGTATGTCTGCATGACCCAACCTTCTACTCTTGTTTTGAGGGACATAGAGCAGTTGGTTTCTCATGCCATATTATCTCCTTCCCTCATTCTGCAGGAGGTTCTCTCTCTCTTTTTGGGACTTTGGCTTTCATGGAATCCCATATCCCCTTGGATCATGCTCATATGCTATGTCTACAATGGACTGCACCTTCTCTTAATCCTTAACTATTCTCCTTCCTTGCACAAAACTTCACCAGGTGATTTGATAAAACTACTCCCATAGTAGGTATTCTTCTTCCTCTCATCTGGGTCTCCTTCTGTTTCCAGCTGCCACCTTGACAAAATGGGTGGACATATCTCGACTCTCACATGAATTAGTGGCATTGGTACCATGACATATTGTCCCTTCAAATCCATCTCTTAGAAGTTTTGGTGGTACATCAAATTTAGAATTTTTTAGGATGGTTCATAGATGTCCCTCAATGATACATACAGTCAATTCTGCAGTTGTCTCTTACTGCAATCACTATGGGGACACTTCCTCTTCCATCAGCTTTAACTTGGGATACATTCTGTCAGGATTTGTCCAGCTTTTTCCTCCATGCCTACCCTCCTGCTCGTCTTCTTCCTCATGTCTTCCTTCGTTCTGGACACTCCAGTTTGAGGCCTCCTGATAACAGTACTGACCAGCTCAGCCATGGTTTCCTCTATTGCACCTTTTCCTGTCCTCTCTTCCTCTGTCACTCTCCCTACTCCTTCAACCTCTCTCATCCAGCAGTGTGATCACTCTGACTTCACATGTGGATTTTGTCCAGTCCCTTGCAAGATATTCCAGACTCTCTTTAGATGTAGCCTACTTTCTTGTTCAGATCGTTTTTCCTACCTCCTTTTCTATCCTTGACAAGGGCACACATTCCAAAGTTGGTCTCTGCATTATGTTTTCTTTCATTCTCTTCCTTTTATCCCCATCTTTCCGAATTTTTTCGTTGGCTGTTCAAACAAGACTTATCGCCTTCAACCATGGCTGGTTACCAGACAGCTCTACATAATACTTTCAGGTTTTCTCATTATTGTCATGTATTCCCCTCCCCTGTCTTTTCTAGGTCCTTTTTTTTTCTTTTTGCCACCTTTTTCCTCCTCATCTTGCAGTCCTTCCTTATTTGAACCTGAATATATGCCTTACCCTTCCTGTCTTTGACCCTTTAGTCTCTTGTTCCTTGCACCATCTTTTGCTTAAATCTTACTTCTTACTTTTTCCCTCTGACTGTAGGAGATATGATGTGTATTCTATTGTTGCTTCCTGTATTTTTCCTTCCATTTCTCAATTTTATTCTCTTTGTATTCTAAGTTTTTTTCTGTTCCATCCACATGGTTCATTGTTCTTTGGACCGCTCTGTTCCTTTTCATGGTTTATGCTCTCATCTACTTATTCTTTAGAATTCCTCATCTTCTCGAGATATTTCTCCTATTACTCTCAATGGATGGCTACAGAACCTAATCCATTTAACCTATGCTTCTTTGGATGTAAGTTTACATTGACTCTTTTGAGTCTCCTCTTACCAAATTGGACACCTTACTCTCTGCGGCTCTTCACTTTCATCATCCATTGAAAGAGTTTGTGCAAACTGGTGTTTATACTATCCCACTTACTTTCATTGCACATTTTCTTCATCATCTGGATATAGACTTTCTCCCATTACCATTATGTCCCTTACTGGCTCTGAATGGGTAAGTTCTCTTTTTTATATATCTAACCTCTACAATGGCCTATTTTTATATCTCCAGATCCTGCTCAGTGGCGAGTGGTATCTGTCCAGGTATACTTTAACTCCTTACCATGCATCCTTTAGAGATGTATGATGCTCACTGACAAGATTGGGTGTTCCACAAGACTCCTCAAGGGTTCCTTGCAGTATATTGCTTCATAAAAAAAGTCTGTTCCAGACATACCAACTCATGGACAACCATGAGTAAAGCTGTGTTGGAATTACTGCCCATACCTCCAGTCCTAGTTGAATAAACCTGGACCAGCCTGCTTTTCAAAATAGGATTTTTATGGTCACCCATCACACAATCTTAGGTGTTGTGTTCCTCCAGACTTCCCACTGCAATGTCTCTTACCCTCTTCTAGTGGGAGTCCTTGCCACTTACCAGTTCCTAGCCACTGGAAAGGTGGACCATAGAAGCTTCCTCCTGAGTGTAGCCACTTCCACTCAGACAAGAGTAGGGTGGTGGTGTTCTGTTGGTGTAGATAGTGAGTACTCTCCTCCTACTGCAGACCTGGTTTTGGACTGGAGTTGACCCACTGAATATGGTCTGACACACTGTAGCCATTCTAAACCATCTGGTGCATCCATTTACTGATTGGAGTTGTGACTTTTCCACTTGGATTAGCAACATGTATCTTTACAGCAGGTGAAAAGTATACTCTGGTTCATGTATGGTGCAGTCTCCCACAAGTGTGACCCTATATCTTAGGGTACCACACTCCATGAGTTCTTTGGATACATTCTAAAGAATGCTCATCTAGGTAACTTTTGCACTGGTCCCTCCACTTTTTCAGTGTGGGATTCTAACTATTATGTGAGAGGAGGTAAGGTATCGTTAATATTTTCCAACACTGCAAATGTATTTCTGATAGAAACTTACACTTCCCACCCATCCTCTCCACTTAAGGTGCATCTTTTTTTTGCCTAGTCTCGAAATGATGATTGTGCTGTACAGTATAGAGGGAGTTAGCTGCACAATGAGGGTGTGTTGCACTCTTATTTGCATGGTACAATGCAGATATACCACATGTATACACATGATGTTAGGTGAGAGACTCGAGGTTGGTGGAGAACAAAACTGGTGCATATAGAGGGCAGCACAAATCAAGGAAAGTTATTATTTTCAGTGTTGGAAAATGTTAAAATTTACAATGTTTCCATCCAAATTTACTGGAGATGTTCCTTTAAAAACAAGGATTAACTTGTAAAACTGACAAAAAACCCTTTTTCACAAATGTAACAGTGTAGTTGTTTTAAATGATTTAAAAAAAAACAGAATTACTTTCAGTAGTTTCTCTTCCATAATATAATGTTATACTGCTAAAAAAAAGGTTAATTCTGATGTAATAACCTACTGCTTTTTTAGTACAATTTTTCAGAAAGTTTATTCTAACAGAGACTATTCCAGTTGAATTTTTTATAAAGGGTTCTGTTAATTTCCATTATTTTGTATTATGTATTTCATAGTGAACAGGAAATGTAGCTTTCATGGATTTTTTTTACACAAATCAACAATTACATTAACTAATCTTAGAGAATTTTAAAACCAACTATGTTTTGCAAAGTCAACAATATACACTTGTATAAATAAGCATTCTCCGACTCAACAACAGCAAAAATTGTAGAGCACTTTGAAGGAACCGCATGTGGTTTAATATACAGGAATATGCGTTATTTTATGAGGAATCCAGAAGTGTATGCTAATCTATAATCGAGTAACATCCAAAGAAGTTATTATTAGTTTTGTCAGTACAGTTGGGTGTTCCTTTTTTATAAAATGGTTAGAGCACTGTTGCAATACATTATCTATGGAACATTCACCATTCCTGAACTTTTTGCAAAACCTGAGAGGAACTGCTGAGGTAACAAGCTAGAATCACTAAATGTTTGTTTTTGTTGAGATCAAAACAGAGTTTGAATCAAAGTTAATCTGCAAATATAATATAACAGAATGTCTGAGGTGTTACAAATGTAGCAGGTGTGAATGTGATCATGATGGTACACCAGTTGCTCAAAACTTTAGCCATAAGAGAGGTAAAAAAAGTTTCAATGGAGAAGGTGCTGTCAAGTTGTCAAAGAAAGTACGCCTGCATACGAGAGAGATGAACTCTGACAACTTGCCTCAAATAGGGAAGAAAGAAAACAATTCAAGAAAGAAAGAAAACAATTCAAGATCATATAAGGAGAGTAGAAGACTTTTTCTGAATGAAATGTAAGAATATTAAAGGATAAGAGAAGAGAGGAGTACTAAAATAATGGCAAAATAGCTTGACCTTAGCAGACAGGTGGTCCACTTTGGTAGGCTAGAAACACCTTAACAACTACTCAGATCAAAGATAAAAACAGCATGGTGAAATTATATCTGGATGTAACTCACTCTCAAGCTTCTATATTACACAATCTGATGGGATACCCTATCACATACCAAAATAGTCATATTTTCTGTCATGAGTCAGATTGCAAATTATGGTAAACAGTTATAAAAATGTTGTACAGATTGTAAGGAATAACTGAGAGTTTACTGTAAGAGTTTAAGATTTTTCATTGAAAAGCTTACCGATAGATCCTGTTCCGTCTATAATGGCAGTAACGGTTGCTACAGCTTTAGCATTTCCCATCAGTGACTTATGTGTTCCCAGTTGTGCAGACACTGCTGTCGTTATTAAAGCATAAGGACCATTAACTGCAGCTCCACCTATCACCTGAAGAACTAAAATTAAGTTTTAATTATTTACTAGCTGTACTGCTATTCTAATTTATCATAATATTGTCATATTTAAATCCCAAGCTAGTAAACATCACTACACACAGAGCAACAGGTATATAAAAGCCAAACGAAGTGCTTATTTAATCTCTGGTCATTACAGTGTCACTATTTTAACATAATAGTCATTACAAATGTATAATGCAATACACGTTTAATGTTCCTTTATAACAACCTGTTAAATACATAACAGAATACAGAGATTGAGTCCATAATACTAAAATAATCTTGGAACCTTGCCATGTCATTTTAGTCCATGTCACCATTAGAGGTCATGCTTTATCTGATGACCAGTCATTTTAACAATAGCCCTGCAGTGTAGTTTCCATTGCAAAAGGCTCTGTTGTAAGGATGTCATGTTCACAGCACATCACTCATTCCTGATGCCTTCCATAATCAAACTAGTGTACAAAGACAACTGTTTTCTAGTACCCCTTTCAACAGTCCAATTGCACAGAAATATTTTGTGCTTGAAAGGGCTATTAAACATCCTTCACAAAAGTGATCAGCTTTTGATGGTTTCACACTAACTACGAAATGCCAAACAATGTAAATTTTGTTATTACACATGCCATTCCACTGCATATTTAAAGTCATTTCAACAGAATGTACTCAACTCTCTGTACATATTTTGTTTTTATTGTAGTCAATAAAGCAGTATATCCTTCACCTGTTATTAGCAGAAGAATTAAAAATATTAAAAAAAACAGGAATAAAAAATTTCAGGAGTTTCACTAGCATCACATGATGAGTTTGGTAAAAGGAACTTTGTGTGTTATTGACTAAGTATTAAATATTCCACCCTAGTCTTGAGAATAACACAGTAATTACTCAGTGTTTCTTATTGGATTTTATGTGTCTTAACATTTGTTTCTGCAAAAATAAGGGGGTGATTGAGTCTATCGGCTTCCACACCCTTGGATCTACCACTAGCATATCACTATGAATTATCAATTGGCTAGTCATGGAATGGGTTTCATTATCTGATGTAAACTATTGTGTTGCTTATTAAAGTATTATACTGGAGGATGATCTTAGGTAACAATTCTTTACATAAAAACTTTTTTATAAAACTTATAATTTTTGTAAGTGTGGAAAAACTGCCACTTCTTGTATATTGTTTATAGGGGTGGGTTATTTCTTTACTTGTAAAATTATGAATCAATTTAAAGTATGACAAAAAGTTAGATCAAACTATTATAGCAGAAGTTATATCAGTCTTAGAATCTCCCTAAGCTTTAAATAGCCATTACAGATCCTTTATATGTGAAACTGTCAGTATTTAGAGTATTAAACAATGAAAATAAGTGTTACTTACCTATATTACTGAGAGTGCAGACACTTCCAAAGGCATCATATAAAAAAAGCTGTATTAAAAAGACAACAGATAATATTACACACATAGATACATATGATAAAGAAAACTCAGCACAAGAAAAGTTTTTTAAAACAAAATAAAAAATACCCAAAGTTATGTAAATAAGGAGAATTATGTTAAAATTATACTATATTGGTATAAAGATTTTCTTTTAGAATGAGATATTACCACGTGCATGGCTAGTTTAAGAATGATGTGTCTGATTAATTTTTGTTATGAATAAGAAATTGTTACTATTTGCTAATTAAATTGGGAATGTATGAAAAAAAGCCCTAGAGTTCAATACCAAGAATAACTTAACAGTTTTGTGGAATGTGACTATGTTAAGTTTTATTAGTTTTAGAAGAAACTGTTAAACGAAGTATCACTTTGTTTTTTGGTTCTAAACTGTGTTTAGGGTGTTGTTCTATAAATATTTGAAAGGTGATTATTTCAAAGTAATTTTGATTTTTGAAGTGTAACTTTTTGTTAGAAACTTAACTGCTAAAGTTAGGTTTTTGGTAGTTTCAACATTTCAAGCTAAGCTTTATAGGCATGGCTCTTAAAATTTAGGCATGGTCAGGAGGTTAGGGTGCTTGACTCACAAGCTGTGGGTCATGGATTTGAATCCCCGTCCCACCAAACATGCTTGCCTATTCAGCCATGGGGCATTATAATGTGACAGTCAATCCCACTATTCTTTGGTAAAAGAGTAGCCCAAGTGTTGGCAGTGGGTGGTGATGACTAGTTGCCTTTCCTCTAGTCTTTCACTGCTAAATTAGGGATGGCTAGCATAGATAGCCCACATGTAGCTTTGTGCAAAATTCAAAACAAACCAAACTTTAAAATTAAGTCAAAGACTTATTACACAGGACTGCGATGGTTTTATTGTCTCGACATATTTACATGTTCCAAAGTAATTCCTGTACGCTGAATCCAAAAATGATATCCATTTTTCTCCATCACATACACATTTTTCACAAAACGTCATAATGCAATACCTAATAGAAAGACCACAACACATAGTTTTGAGAACAAAAGACGTAGAGTTCACAAAAAAATCTGGATGAATGAAGATGCATATTCGTTTGACATCAATGTTTTTCCATTTTCTTCAGTTTGGTAAAGGAAATAACAATTTGAACTAAGTAAGAGTTTTTTCTTCCTGATTTGTAAAAAATCCTTACGTGATTGAAAAAAATTAATATTACTTTTGAAATCTGTGTAGCTGAATTATGGAAAATCCATTATTAGAACCAAAACAACTTTTATGAAGTTTAAATTCTTAGGCCTGCGTTATTAGGTTAAGTAGTTGTGGTCTTTCATCTTGTAAGAACAGTCTGTGTAGCTGAATTATGGAAAATCCATTATTAGAACCAAAACAACTTTTATGAAGTTTAAATTCGTAGGCCTGCGTTATTAGGTTAAGTAGTTGTGGTCTTTCATCTTGTAAGAACAGTCTGTGTGGAATAAAATATTGATTGCTTTGCTTACATTTTGCAGACTTTCCTACACATTTAAAAAAATGTAAAACATTATTACAGCAGTAGAAGGCCATTAGACAGCAAATTTAACCATACGTGCATAGGGTTGATCCATTGCATTGAGACTGAATTGGAAAATTAATGTTTACTATAATTCTCAATTTACTTAGTGCATTTTGACAGCTTTTAGTAAGCCATTGCAAGTATGTTTGGTAAGATATTGCAGTATGTTATACACAAAATTAAGAATTTTTAATAAAGTATTTCTGCTAAAGGTTTTTCTCGGAATTTACTTTAATCAATTTGACTGAGACTCTGACTAGGATGAGTGCAAGGTT